TAGTACGTGTCATACCCATTGCATTGCTTTAGCATAACATCTATAGAGGTGGTTTTGCATTTTTATTTTAGTTTTTGTAAATATTTCAGCATTATCTTTAAAAAAATAAGGACACTGGAAAAACATTGTCACATACTAATCATACTATTATCCGTTCATTAAAAATTAACAGTATTTCCTTAATATCAATATTTAGCAAGTGTTCAAATTTTGGTTGCCTCAAATCCCATAATTTATTTATTTATTTATAAAGATTTTATTGGGGAATTGGGGAAGGAGAACAGTGTTGGGGAATTGGGGAAAGGGAACAGCCAAGTTGTTGTCCTTCATTCTTAGTTGTGGAGGGTGCAGCTAGCTCAGTTCCAAGTACAGGTGCCATCCGGCCACCCGTCGGCAGCTCATAGCTGCTCACTTCAAGGTGCTGTGTTCAATCTTAGTTGCAGGTGGGCGTAGCCCACCATCCCATGTGGAAGTCAAACCGGAAACCTTGTTGCTAAGAGTGCAAGCTCTAACCACTGACCAATCTGGCTGCCCATTGGCAGCTCAGCTCAGGGTGCCGTGTTCAATCTTAGTTGCTGGTGGGCATAGTCCCCTATCCCATGCAGGAGCTGAACTGGAAACCTTGATGTTAGGAGCACGTGCTCTCACCAGCTGAGCCATCCTGCCACCTGTTGGCAGCTCAGCGGCAGCTCAGCTTGGGCTTAGCTCACTGGCCCATGTGGGAATTGAACCGGCGACCCTGTTGCTCAGAGCTTGTGCTCTTAACCAACTGAGCCACTTGGCCAGGCCCCCCCCCCACAATAAATGTTTTTTTTTAACAATCAGAATCCAAATAATGCTCAGATATTACTATTGGTTGACATGATAACACTCTTTTATATCTCTCTCCCATATATGTGTTGAATATTACGGCCAGTGTGGATTTTGCTGATTGCATCACTGTGGTGTAGTTTAACAGGTCCCTCTGTTTTCTGTGTTTACTATAAATTAGTAATTACGAGGTATGATCAAAAACTACAGTGAATGTTTAAATAAAAAAGAATTTATTATAGTAAAAGATACATTGTGATTAATCCCCCTCAAAATATTCCCCCTTGTTTCGAACACACTTATCCCATCATTCTTGCCACTTTCTGAAGCAGTTCTGGAAGCCCTTTTTCATGAATGTCTTTAGTTGCGCTGTCATGGCTGCCTCCATGTCCTGCATCATTTTGACTTTGGGGAAGAGCCAGAAGTCGCACGGTGCCAGATCCGGTGAACAAGGGTGATGAGGACACTCTGTAGTGTTTTTTTTTCAGAAAAATCGCCATACCAGAAGCAATGTGTGACACGGAGCCTTTCCGTTGTGATCACAAAATATGGTGAATGCTGCTGCCGAGGGCCATTCAGCAGAAAGGCGGGGATCTTCAATATGGGAAGCGGCGTGTTGAACCTTAATGACAGTGTGTGACAAGTTTCAACTTGTTTGGTGCAGTCAGGTGTGAGCTATGGTTGAGAAAACGGTGTGTTTTAAAGTATATAGTAGGCCAGCCGAGTGGCTCAGTTTGTTAACAGCTCACTCAAGAGTGCAAGCTCTGAGCAACAGGGTTGTCGGTTCCATTCCCGGCCCAAGCTGAGTTGCCGCTGAGCTGCCAACAGGTGGCAGGATGGCTCAGCAAAATAAATAAATAAATAAATAAAGTGTATCGTAAATCACCCTCCATCATGACAGTGTTTGTGTCACACATCGCTTCTGGTATACAGCAATTTCTGTTAATTAAAAACATGGTGTGTCCTCATCTACTTTATTCATTGGATCTGGCACCATGCGACTTCTGGCTCTTCCCCAAAGTCAAAATGATGCAGGACTTGGAGGCAGCCACGACAGTGCAACTAAAGACACTCACGAAAGAGGGCTTCCAGAACTGCTTCAGAAAGTGGCAAGAACGATGGGATAAGTGTGTTTGAAGCTGGCAGGGGGAGGATTTTGAGGGGGATTAATGGCAATGTGTCTTGCTATAATATTTTTTATTTAAACATTCACCGTATTGTTTGATCACACTGCATACATATATAGTCTTGATCTGCTTCAAGTTTGATTCTTGGGGGTGGTTAGCAAAACTCCTTTGCAGGTGGTGGGGGCTCTTCCAGAGGGCTCTGACGTCTGGTGGTCTGTCCTGTGTTGTTAGCAGCCATCGATGACCAGTGACTGGATCTATTACTTCTTTAGTGGTTGCAGAAAGATAATAGTCTGTCATTTCTTACCCTGAAGTACAGTTCATACAGGAAAGTCAAAATAAATGTCCAAATCTTCTGTTTATCACTCTTCAAAATAATGAGCTGGTTTCTTAGTATCTTTCAGTAGTGGTTAAAGTGTTCTTACATACACATTGATTTAAACATTTTGTAAACTTGTGGGAAACAGCAATCTGGAATCTGCCAAGCATTCAGCCTTCATATGTGAGGCAGTAGAAAAGTTCTCGTGTAAGTGCGAAGGCTCACATTTTGCCATTCATATAATCCTTGAAAAGCCCTCTTGAGGTAGTGTACTCAGCAGAGAGAGAGAGGAATATAAATAAAGGCCCCCAGTCCCTTTTCTAAGGTCCTTGGGGCTGACGGTGCTCCTTCCCCCTACCCCCGACATTTAATTTTGCCAGAGGCAGGATTCCATATGTTTTGGTACCTGTTTGAGTTCTCCATTTGTGGTACCCTTCACCCAGCCTCCCTTCATCTTATGTCCCACAGTCATGGCACATTTACTGAAGTTAACTCATGATCGTTGCTGCCGTCCTGTTACGTGGACTGTAAGCTTTATTTGGATTTGACCAATTTCCCACTGGTGTCTTTTCTGTTCCAGGATCCCATCTGGGATCCCATGTTGCATTTGATTGTTGCAGCTCCTTAGCTTCCTCCAGTCTGACTGTTCCTCAACCCTTCTTTGCTTTTCATGATGCTTTTTTTTTTTAATTTACTACCTTAACCATTTTTTTTTAAAGATTTTTTTTTATTGGNCCTGCCGATGGCAGTCGTGTGGCAGGAGCCTCAGATGAGGCGCTGACCTCTGGAATCCTGACTATCGATGTGACTTCCGTAAGCTCCTCTCTTAGAGGGAGCCTCCCTGCTAATAATAGTTCCTTAGGGCCTGTGGACCCACTGGTCTTGGTGGCCCACAGTGACATTCCTTCAAGCCTGGACAACCCTGTTGTTCTTGGGACAGCAGCCACAGTTCTTCAGCAGAGCAACTTGAATATGGATGATGTGCAGACTGTAAGTGCAGGAGCATTAGACTGTCTGGTTGCTCTGCCTGTGAAGAACTTGAGTCAGGACCCACATGCTTTGACCTCCAGTAGCAGTTTAGCAGTGAACACCACACTGACCTCTTCAACTACCCCCCAAGGAAACACCAGTGTCCCAGAACTGCTAGCTCCAATCAAAGTGGAACCAGACTCACCACCTGGCCCTGATGCTATCAGGCAGCAAGAACGAAGCAAAGGAATGCACCGACCAGTGTTCTCCAGCCCTCCAGAAAAGCACAGTTCTCAGAATGACACAGGACTCAGTGCAGGGACCGGCAACTTCTATTTGGTATGAAGTGCTATATTCAGTCACCACCACATAGCTCACGTCTCTTTCACTCAATTTTGAGGATGTTCTGGATTAATCATTTATGTGCAGACGTTTCTTACTGGCTTGTGAAAGAATGGAGCCCTGGACTACAAGTCTGGAAATCTGAATTCTGATCACTGAGTCTGGAACTGACTAGTTTTTACAACCTTGAGCAAATCACTTAACCTGTCTGAGCCTTAAATTCTCATTTATTTCTAAAATGAGGGGGTTTGGCTAGATGATTTCTAAGGTCTTTTTGAGTTCTGTGATTGTGTGATAATGTGTGTTCTTGAAGAAAATTGGGAGTGTTTCATAATGTTGAAATGTTCTGGCTTTGTGCTTTTCACATCCTAACAAGTCCTTAGAATTACTGATAACCAGAGGAAGAGGAATCGCGACATCAGCTATCTTTAATGGTTTAATGGAAACTTTAAAACCAGGGAGAACAATTTTTTTTAAAAATTAGGATTAAGGGAGAAAAAGGAAATGGTTTGTGAACCTTTATTTCTGAAGGGTTATAAGTGCTCTAGTTTTGAGGCTTGGCAGTTAATATACTTTAATTATATTTATGTCAGGTATACATACATTTAATATAATTTAATTTAAAAATAATTTAAAGATTCTTGGGAGAGAGTCTGACTTTTTCGTCAGGCTCAGATGGGAATGATCAAATAGGTTTTTTTCTTTGTGGCACAGGGTAAGTTTGATGGTGGTATATTGTTCAAAATGCTAAATCTTACTTTACCACAATTTTTTTTAAAAAGTTCAATTCTTTGAATTAGGATCAATTGTGATGGATGTGGTAACCCATCTACCATAGAGCCAACTTTTAAGTCTTTCAGTCTGAGAGAAGCTCGGTCTCTGTCGAGCCTCTTCTGGTGCCTCATTTGTTGCGGAGCATAGCCACATGTGCTAACCCTCTACTTAGGCGGCTGCAACGGTTGCCAGGTATGCAGGTGCCTGGGCCAGGAGGGGAGATGGCTGAAGCTCAGAGATTAGTGGGGAGGCCGTGCCTGAGTGCAGGGCCTTGCTGCTTTGGGAAACGGTAATTCTCTGGTGCCACCGTGTCATCAGAGGCCTAATTGGGAGGAGGCAAGGAGGAGCCACCATGACCCTGATCTTGACCCCTTGTTCATTTTCTCGCTAGCTGTGTGACGTTGGGCTGCCTCGATTCTCTGAGCACAGATGGTGTGTGGTGAATGGGTTACAGGTATGCCATGAGCTGTTGAGGGTTGTTTATTTTTTCTTGTAGTGATAAGTATTAAACTGCTTTTCTTATAAAATACAAATTTATAACAGCTGATGTCTTGTTTAAATACTGTTTGGCTTTCTCAGTAAACTTCCTGAATTCAGTAACACAATTATTGTTTTGGTCTGTAAAACTTTGAATTGAGCACCTGCTGCCAGAGTGGCTCTGCAGTGGGTATCTGAAATAGGACTTCCCCAGGTCTGCCATACAAGTATTATGTGGCATACTCTGAAAAGTGTTGGGAAGTGCTGTAGTAAATTAATCATGAATCACTGAGAGAAGACTGGTTATTTGTTTTAGACAGCAGAGAAGTATGTAATTCATTTTATAACAGTTTCTGTATAAAATATTTTAATGTTTTAGACTTTGGAGGAATAAACTTTGCTTCTCTGGATAATAAAATTATGTATATTGTTCCAACCCTGATTTCTTTTAGCTATCATTGTAATTCGATGTAGCATTTGATTCTCTGTGAGCCTTTGCTGGAAATTCTCAAAAAGTGTTGGACTCCACTCTGTTCAGGAAGCAGACTTATTACATTTCAGTAGTTCCCCTCCCTTTACTGTTTGGGTCAAGTGACTGACACACTTTTCTTTGATCTCAGGAAAGTGGGGGCTCAGCAAGAACTGATTCCCGAGCCATTCAACTAGCCAAGAAAAAAAAGCAGAAAGGAACTGGGAGCAATGCAGGTGAGGTTGTGTGTTCTGCAGTGCTGGGGGAGTAAGGGTTCTGAGAGTCAACTCAGGCTTAATTAAGGACAGAAGAAACACATAGAATAGGTGTTTCTATGTTCTTTGTGTTCCTTCTATGTTCAAAATGCCCTTTCATCAACTCCTTAGTGTTATGTGAATTTAAGAAAAAAAGTTACTAGCAAAATCCACAGCATCAGTATGGGTGTTTTATTTACCTAAAAAAGTGGTGTGAAAATTAGTGGTTGCAAACTCCAGTGCCTATTACAAGGTAAAAAGCAAAACAGAACATGTGTCAGAAAAGTAGAGGTGGAAACCTGGTGCTAAATGGCCACTGGCCCTTGACCTTGGCATTGGGAAGACCCTTGGGACGGGACTGCAGCTGTCCCCAGAGTCTACCTCTGGATGGCATGTGGCCTTATGGATACCCAGTTCAAAGTTGTGTTGAAATCAAAGTTTAAAATGTCAGCAACTATTTTGAATTTTTAAAAAACACCAGGTGGATCCAACAGGTCATGCTAGTTTGTGGCCACATGCGTCTAGCCATCCATCCTGAAAATGGAATAGTGGGCCGCAGTGCTTAAAGGAAACTACGGTAAATTTTTTTGTAAAGGTAACAGCGAATTCTTTAATACTGTTTTGTATATTTCATTTGTCTTCATTTATCTAAAATTTATTTTTAAAAAATCACAGGTATGTACAATTAGCAATATAATTTTATATCTTTCTCAATATGGCCTTTTCTTTAGAATAATAACTCCCTATTTTCTGTTGATTTTAAAGCAAATATTGCCCTATAAGGAATGTCGTTCACTGTGACTGAGGAAGAGTTACCTCCATAGGTCACAAAGTGCCCAAATAGGACTTGGAGAGATAATAAAAGGAAGTGTGGTGGTGATGATAATGGTGTAAATCTATGAAAGAATGATAGAATTTAGCATGTAAGCATATTAGGCAAAATTAATGAAGGAAACCAAATATCTTTATTAAACCAAATAGGTAATCTTGAAGGAAAAATATACTGTGGACATTCAGGCAT